CTTTAACCTGATGATGCCGAATGCTTGGAAAAAGATATTAAACCAAAAACCCACATCACAGTCCAGGAAGGAGATTTCATGTTGGCTCACCCTTAAGACTTAGCTGTAATTCTCAAACCACAAAAAGGGAGATGGGCCTACCACAAGCTGGGCACTTTACTCTTTGGGGGAAAAAGTAATGTGATACTGTTTAAGTTCTCTACCTGTAAATGACGAACTTTCGAGGCAACATGCAGGGTGTACACAAACCCCTTGCCACCGCAAGCCTCATAAATAATGTCTTTTTTGAACTCTGGAAGAAAACAGTGCATATGATATTCACAGAGGCGGAGTGGAAATGCCTCAAAATAGGTTTAGAGCTCTCCAAAATACTGAGACTGCTCCGCTCTCCTCTAGAAAGTGTTAAGAGGGTCACAATTAGGCTGTTATCCAGCTCAAGACATCCCTGTGCTCCAGCACCGTTTTGCAACACTGCCTCATCAGTTCTCAGTTTGTACATGGTGCAACACAAACCAGAGGGGGCAATGAGTTTCTGGCAGCAAAGAAGTCGGACTACGCTGTGCCCATAATTGGAACCCTCCTGAGAGCCAACTCAAAATGATTCCCTGGCAAGCAGCGCACTGAAGAACTGGAGCCAGCTTCGGGCCTTCCTGTCATGAGATACAATATCAATCTCAGCTCAGTGAAACTACAGTGCAACAAATCAGTGTCAGACCACCAAAAGGGTGTACAAGCCACAAAACAAAGACTATATGTACACAGATACCACCAAAAGAGCGGTACAGAGGAAAACATACTTTAAGACCACCACAGAGGTGGCAAGGAACAGGAGTCACTCTAACCTAAACTGACTGAGAGTAATAGTCTCTCATAAAGGATATAGTTTTACCCTCAAGAGCTAACCAAAATAAATTGCGTTTGACCTCTAGACCCTGATATGAATGACTGCTCATCTTTCAAGCAGGAGGCTGGTAACCATGGAAAAACATCATTAAAAGCCCTATTGTGCCCTAACAATCCTGCCTTACCACAGGGGTAGCTCCCCTGCGGTAAAAGGCTCACATCTGACAGATTTCTTACAATGTTTCTATGCACACACTAATATCTCTGCAATCTTCCCACAGTAATCTCCCACATACGCACATCTATAGGCTACATACATTTATTTTCATATATAAATTGCTCCATTGTGTTTCTTCCCCTATGCCGACGGCCCTAAACTTTAACTCCATCTAGCTTAAAAAGATGTAAGTATAACATGAGACATTCTTTCATGACAGGTCATAGTTAAATGATGTAGGAGTGGAGTGGTATTAAGGGGAATATGAGTGCCCTCCTCCCACACATGAAGCAAGTGGAGCTGCAGATATTGAAAAAAGTCTGAAGCTTCTCAGAAACGGCATAGCAGGGGTTCTGATCAGTGAATTTAAGAGGTCAAAGGACTCGTAAGTGGGTGGACGCAGCAGAAAACAGCCCGAGATTAAGTTATTGGGCTAATAAACTGGGAATTCTGGGCTCTAGGGCACACATTTACAGAGCTGTGTAACACATTACCCTGGCTATTTAAGTGTGACCTCATTCAGCTTTAAGCCAAAGCCCACCAACCTGTTAACTACTTTTAAACATTTACCAGTATGATTACTGGCTGCTGCAGTAAGACAGTGGCGTATGCACGAGGTATTTTGTTAACTGAAGCCATGTGAATGCTCATAGGAAATGTCTAATTGACTTTGAGGTTTATCAGTTATCCTCAGGGGCAAAGAGACCTCACAGGGACAGTCACTGGTAATTTCTTACATCAGGTCTGTTCAGCCTCACTCAACCATCACTCCAACAATCAGTGTCCATTGGTGAATTTTAAGATCATTCTGTTTAAATGAGTGAGCCCAGATGGTTGCGACTGTGGTGGCTTTCTGTTTATCCAGGAATGAATTAGAGTGACTGAAGTGCTCCAGTGATACCTCGAGGCTGGTCTTAACAGGTGATACCCAACACGTTCGTCTTAGTGGTGAACCAGCTTCTGGATGGCCTATAAAAGCTGTCTTTGAGGTGTAAAGATGGCAACATAATCATACTTTTTCAAATGCCTGGGGTCGCAAATAGCAATGTCAGGTCTGCTTTGTGTAGAACTGCAAAATATATCTGTCTCGCTTTTTTTTTTTTTTTAGCTTTCCCAGACACAAATATAAAGCAGATAAACACTCCTTACCCACACCTAACTTTACACTTGAATCAAACAAATTAAGTATAAAGCTATGCAGTAGGAGCCAGAAAAGCTAACATTTACTACAAGACAACATATGAACCTAACCTTTGCAGTAAACCACACCATAATCTTAGTGAAACAATTCAAACAAACGCAAAACTATTTGGGCCCAGATGCATAACTTAGTCCTGGAACTGAAGACATGTTGTCCACTCATGTCTGTCAATGAAGCAAGCTGTTGGGAAGATAGTGAATCTGGAAAAGGACACAGTCTTGGGAGGGCAGGGCAGTGGCTCAATGAAAGGAATAAGGCTTTAAAGATGTTCTTAATTTGAGGTGTACATGCTCACAGAAACACATTTTCTCATATTAGATTAATCACTCGCAGTATTAAACATCTGAGTCTTTTTTCCATCATTATTTAATCACCACAGCCATGCATTGTACTTATTATTCCTGGAGAAATTAATCAAATGCACAACGGTCCTATTAATGTTTAGGAATATATTATCAACCAAGTCAACCATAAGCTACCATATAACTAACAGTTTGCTGGAATTTCAAGCACCTTACTTAATTTCAAATATCTTCTCAGCTCTAAGTCAAGAGGCATTTCAAACAACAAATGAACTGCTCTGGTATTTGACATGCCATATTCATGGAATCTAAATGCATAGACCTGTTAAAATGATTAACATGAGTAAAGTAACTTTCCAGCTGTCATGAATACCTTCGCCTTGTACAGTTGTAAAAATTGACATCCCGCTGAAAACCTTTGGCGCAAGCATGACTGCTTCCCATGCATGACAACCTAATTTATCCATTACTGGACAGACAAATGCACACCGCGCTGCCTGCAAGTCACTCGCTGTCAAAAGAGACATGCAATTCTACATGCCAAATTGTTAACAGTGTTTCATGCACAAGTTCTTTGTAGTAGACAGACCTTTGTCTACAGCAGTTTCAGATGCATTAAGGCAAATAAGTACTAAAGTAGAAAAAAACTAATTACTACTTTCTACTACAAATTTCGTTGTATGCTACATGCAATGACAATAAAGGCATTCTATTCTATTCTTTATATATTTATATATATATTTTTTGACATTACTGTGTTTCCAGATGTTGCAACAATCTGCATTTAAGAACTCTGTAGTTCAATTTGAAGACGGAGGATCTTTCAATTCACATTTCATTTGCAGTGGCATGTCATGCTTGAGATTTGCTTAACACTAAGGACTGAATGTCCGTTAATGCTATGATTGCACTGTAGGGTACAATATCTGAAACCATTTAATGTCCATCTCAGCAAAATATTACCATTTGAATTAATAACCTATAGAGAAAATACACATCAGTTAGTTTGATAATGAACCATAAACTCTCTGTACTCTGTGTGCATGAGTGTGTTTATGTGTGTTATAATGACCTTAAAGTAGTAAGTCATACGCGATCCAAAGGACAAGGGAAACACTTACATGCAAAACTGTAAGGAGTGCTGGCACCATGCTTGTTAGGCTGTAGCCAGAACTTCCTTTTAACAACAGGACTAACAAACTTGAAGCATGCTTAGTATTATTCAATGTTAATTTTCTGTGCATAGGAACCAAGATATTGTTAATGTCTTTGGCTGTGCCAACAGGGATATATGTAAATTGTTTGATTGGGTATCGGTATCAGGTATTGGGTATTGGGTAGTGGGAAAAAACACCAGACAAACTGGGGAGTAGGGACACCAAAAAACTGGTTAAGATGAATCCCAAATCTAGGATTCATTTAAACCAGCAATTACCTTTCTGGTTACTAACTGACAAGCATTGATACCCATCATCCTCCTCGTCTGGTAGATTGTGGCACTCCAAGGGGAAGCGTCCCTCATCCAGAAGTGTCCAGCAACTGTCCCGCAAGACTTCGCAGAAACTCCGACAAGGCAACACCGGCAGCGGGGACTGAGAGCCACACTTAGGTACCAAGAGAAGGCAGAAAAACCACTCCAAACTATGATGGCAAGGTGATTTCAACAGCCATGCCCATTCGTTTAGGAGTGCCTCGACTTCCTCCACACTGCTTTGGTTAAGGTAATTGGGCACAACAAACCTTTCCCCAACCATGTAGGAGCAATAAGGGAGAGCAGTATCTATCAACAAGCACCGTGGGGATTCTACAACTAGCTCTGAGCTAGTCACCACTTTCTGGCTAGTTGCTGATGCTTGACTGGGTACTTGAGGTTGGGCCACTATGGGCATTGAGGTGGCTTCTGGTCTCTTGCTAGCTGGTGGTGGGGTCATTAACATTTTTGAGGTAGTTGTTGGTGTTTGGATTGAAGAAAGTGTCTGGCTAACAAATGAAGCTTGTTTAGTCTGTGACACTTGATTAGATAAAGCTTCCTGTTTAGCTGTTGATTCACCAGCTGGTAACAGAGTATCTTCCACAACTCCAAGAAGATTTTGCTCCGATTTTGTGATACCAAGATTATGGCCCTCATCTGTTCTGTTACTAATTACCCAGGTACTCTTTTCAAACTCCAGTTTCATCTCAGTTATTTGGGACTCTACACTGCCACCTCTATCAAACCCCCTATAATCAGTGGGCATTACTACTCCTTGTGTTTCAAAACCAGATCCCCAGCTAGTTTCAGCTCCTGATGCTAATCCAGAGCCAGACCAATGGCCTGACCCAGTGCCTGATGCCAATTCAGACTCAAGCCCAGATCCAAGTCCTGAAACATTTTCTGTAAAGCTTAAATAATCAGATTCTCCAGAACCCATACCCTCTAGAGAAGATGTGCCATTACCAGGTTTATGTATGCGTGATGAAATCCGTGCTGTCTCCGGTTGTGTTGTAGGTATTAGAGTGGTCTGTCGTGGTCCCTCAGTCTGCACAACCTTTGGGATCCCATGTCCCTCATCAATGATCTCCCCTCCAACCCTTGCAATATTCTCTGAGGGTGGTTCTCCACTACCTGCTGGACTGCCAGACCCCTCATGGTCCACTGTTGGGGGCAAAGTTGTAGTACCACTCCAGGCCCAGAACCAAGCATCAGAGTAGACCACCCATAGGGTCAACAAAAACAAAACTCCAAACTGGGTCCTCATTTTAGGCATAATACCAAGTCTTTACCACATCCACCAGCTTGATCAGGCTCCCAGAGTGAACTGTGACATGTCCACACTGCCACTATACTCCTCACACACACTTTCCAGCTCTGTCTCCACACACACTCCACTAGGCAGAGAGGAAAAGTGAAGAGGAGTGCCCCATTCAAAAGAGTAAAGGGGGAGAGCAGGAGGAGGTGTGCTCCGTATTGGCTGCCCTTGCAATATTTCCTCTCCTAACTCCTCCTTCCTCCTCCTTCTCCTTTTGTCACAGCAGTGAAAAGCGATCTCTCCTGCTGACTGATACCTTAGAATTACGGCAGCTTTGCCTTTCAGTGTACAATACTGATGCTTTCAGTGTTTTACAGAGAGGAGCAATTTGTTCCCCTTGGCTCGTTCTCTTTGTTAAAACACGATAATGGGAAAACTGCAGATATAGCTTTAAAAACTCTTAACTGTGTGAAACTGCATTGGGAGCAAAAGCTGTTGTCAAATGATTTGGTGATTTCAACAAAAAGAGCTGAATGCTGAATTCAGTCTAATGGATTAAATTAGTCCCATTCCATTGGAAATAATACAGCTCATTATACAGCAGAGCTGCTGTTGTTTAAATATTCTCCTATTATAGTAATTGTATTATTTCATGTGATTATGGGGTAATGTATCCAAACAACACAATTCAAAACCACTACATGTAAACTAAAGTAATTCAATCCACCTGTGCCAGTGAAAGTTTTTACAATTATTCCTTACATTTAGATCAATACAGTGTCAAATTCAAGCCATTAATTAATGTAAATGTATCATCTTCTATTCTTCCACTAGTTCCTGCATACATTGTTCCCTCTCTATATGGTGCCATTTACTGTTCAATCGGGTTAAGACCCCTGCTTTCAGTGCTCTGTGGTTACACAGTAATCCAGGACTCACTTTCTTGTCCAGACTGGTTTCTCATACTGCCTACCATGCTGTGATCAGTTGACAGAGACCCTCAACATCTGCTAATGGGGGATTAGTGATAAAGGGAACAGGAGGTTTGTGCAAATGTGTCTCTAATAGCACCTCTGTTCAAAATTAAGGCAGGGATGTTGTGCATGTAACCTTAGTTCCTGATGGGGAACTTGGGTCATTTGTGCACAGCAGGCAACTATCCCTATAAATGTTCCAGACGCTAATGTTGAGATGCACAAATGTCTTGACACGAGCTTGACAACTTTCTATCCTATGGCTTTCTGTCATGGCTTGTGGTCACTAATGGTCTAACTCATCCATGGCTGCAAGATTATGTTTGTTTGATCTAACACAGGGGGGAGGGTGAACACCAAAGACATTAAAAAAGGATGGAAAATACTGACACTAGCAAAAATGTGAATGCAATACATCCTTCATCAACATTTCATACATCTAATACAAACTACAAAGACTAGTGAACTGTGACCTATTAAAGAAAAGAACGCGGTATAGCTCACTTATGTATCACAAGGCTGAATTATTTTTCCACTTTTTGCCCTGATGACACTTTTAATGAAAGAAAAATATTGTGTGTAGTCATATGAAAAGTGGCTTCCTTTTGGGTAAACATGACTAAGGCACTTGTGGTTGTCTTGAACTGGTGTCTGTTTGACTTTTATTTACAAGAATATTTGTTCCTTTAAGGAACCAAAAAGCAAAAAAGTATACTTGCCACCACTAAAATATTTCATAACGAACGCTACTTTAAGAATGGAAGATGTAAGGTTTTCTATTCTCAGTTCAGCGGCAGAATTTTAAGAGGTTAGTTGTAGCATGATTTCATAAATGTAAATTACTAGATCCTCTGGGCAAGGAGGAGTTAACACTCTTAACCAAGCAATTGTTCACTCTAAACCTGTCAAAAGGAGACAATTTGATTATAGCGGTTCCTTGAAAAAAAAAAAAAAGAAGAATGACAACTTTCTGTGGGAGACTCATGTTCACGTTGACTTTAGGCAATGCTCCTCAAGAAAGGGACCATTATGAAATGTTGCAGGTGACATTAAAAGTGAACACAAGCCACAAGCCCATTTTTCTGTGGTCAGACAAACTCAGTGACCAAAGTATTCTTTTGTAAGTCTGTAAACTAAAATAAACATGACGTTTATAGTCGAGACTTGGCTAATAAACCCTAGGGTAATAAACTATGTCTTGTGATAGATAATGATTAGCCCTAGACATCAGTTCTACCCCTCTAATGGACTCTCTGGTTTATTGCATTATTGTATAGGTTTTTATTTCAGAACAAAAACAAAATAGCAGACACTTTCTTCAGCAAGAATTTCCACAGGTCATTCAAACCAGATCATTGTAACTTAATGACAGCAGAGGTGCCTTTACTATTCTACACTTCCCATGTCCTGTGGGGAGTCCCATCAGCATGATCTGCTCTTTTATCTTGTCCCTTTCTGTTCTCTTAACTACACAAGATGCCAACCCTAATCACTCACAGAATCCAGAGAGAAGGAATAAGTTGTCTAAAAGAGTAAAATACTCCCATCAGTATTTCAAAAAATGACAATGAATTAGCCTGAAGATGTTTTGTATGACAACAAAAGATAAAAGATCTTACAAAGTTTGGAAATGTTCTGCTATACTTAACAGTAGGAAACTTGCCAAAAGACTTGGGTGGCCAGGCATATACTCTGTCACCTTAGAACTAGGAAACAATCCGCTTAGTGATGGAAAAACCTGACGAGGAAAAGACAAAATTCCATTTAATGAAGGTAGTACTTTTGTGCTTTTTAGTGACAGTTTTCTCAGCACAGGTAATCTGCAGATATCATAACATGCCTTGAACCTTGTCAAAAGTCCCTCTTTTCAACATCCCTTTCATGTTGACTGCTGCCGGAATAGAGTACAGGCTGCGTAATGTCAACATGGCCAGAAGATTTCCTGTTTTCAGGAGTAGCATTTGTAATTGGAACAGGTAATTACAGTAAGAATAGTTGGAAAGTCTGCATTGTGCTGTATGAACAAAGGAGCACATCCATGGTACTTTGCTGATGATACATATTGTTTTTAGGGAACTCAAACTCAAACAGATCAAATAAGCCGTCCTTTTAATATGTGTTATTTGAGAAAGTGAAAAGAAATGTTTCTTGGTGGGACTAATAATTAGAACAACTGTCACGACTATGTTTAAAACGCTTGGTAAAAATGTGGTTCATATATATTTTATTCAACACACATGGCTGAGATAAGATATCTTATAAGATATCTAAGCTCAATAAATGAAGTGGTTCCTACTCTGGAGACCACTGTGCAGCTAAAGCATGTCTTTTACAAGGGTTTAAGAACTTCCCTTTGACACAGTTCACATGCTGGTCACTGCAGCCTGCTGACAGAGGACCATTATCTCAGCAGGGATCTGTAATCTAAAGGGTCAGTTCACCCAAATTACAAAAAAATGTTATGTTTCAGTGCTTCAGTGGCACCACTAATGAAATTCCATTCACTTTCATTGTATTTGAGTGGTGGCAGAAGTCTTAGCAGCAGATTAAACCAATGATTAAACCAAAAGTATCTCCATGGCTCAATACCAAGAGGAGTATTTGATGATTTTGGTGAAGTGACCCAGGAACTCATCAACAAGAGACACAGGTGTCACATGTTACACGGGTATAATGAAAACCCATTACATCTTCATTGGTAAAACAATGTAATAAACCTTTGGAAATGATGGAATCGAAATGACTGAAGGTTCTGTTGTCAACATTCAGAGCATTAATATTGCAACACACCAATATATGCTGCGTAAAGATAAAGTAATGGCAGCCTGAGCAGAGAATGAAGTCACGCTCCATCTGTGTGTGCTGTAATCCGAGCTCCTCTGTGGTTTGTTGTAGTGAGCTGGTGCGGCCAGGCATGCATGTTCATGTGTGTATACCACTAGCTAGCTCATTGCTGCCGCTTTGCACTGCATTTATGCGGCAGTTACAGCTTGGGATGGCGTCTTTGCAGAAGCGTAGCGCCCGCTCTCTGGTCCCCCCGATTGTTAGCTCTGTCAGCGCCATTGCTGTGCGCTGTTTATGGAGTTAGCATTGTTAGCTGCTTGCCACTGGCTCAGCCACCTCCATCTTGAGAACCATTTCCCGACAACGCCTACGCTTTGAATTTCACATAAAACCATACAGTGTGGAGTCAGACTTTAAAAACCACATGCTTTCACTGCTTTATTGTCTTGTCTTTAATTGACTCCTTGAGGTTTACCATGAATATTGTGTATGTCTCCACCTTTAAGAAAAGAAAACCTTTTATTATACACGTAGGTATAGCAAAGTGCCATTCCTTAAAAATGTCTTTAATGTCTGCGACCTGTGAAATCCTGAGATGTTTGAGCAGAGGATGAACTGAAATTCCAGCCCCCCCAGTGTCTGTCTTCACAATACAGAGACAAAAGCTTGAAACCTAAGACCAGGAATGAGTCTGAGTGCTGAGACCATGAATGGGAGGATAAATGATCAACTAATTACAACACCAACAAAACCCACTGAACATAATCCATGAGGGGCCAAAGGCCTCCAATTATCTGTCACTGCACAGCAGTACTTTATGCCAAACTGTCATTCAGCTTTTGAATTTCATATGCAGAGTGCCAATTTCATCAGTGCTAAATATAGCTTTTGTAAATAATTTAAGAACACAAGGACATGTGCAACGCAATCTCCTACACAACTGGCACTGGAAAGAGGGAAAGTATATGTTTCAAATGTAGTTTACAATAAACATTCTCTATTAACCTAAATGTTAACTCAACACTTGAGCACTATACAGCAAGTCATTTTGACCTGAAGTGTAACTGCTGTATAAACAGAGAGGCACAAAACTAGACGCACGCTACACCACAGGTCGACAATACTAAAACGCAAGGGTGTATTCTCTGCAGTCCTTGGAGCAGCTAAAGGGCCTTTTGGCAGCCCTCCCTGCACCTTCACTGGTGTTATTTCAGCAAGTGGGGGTCGTTGACCTCTCGCTGTGAGTCATAGTGTAGTTGCCGTTTCAGCGGTTACACAAGCAATAAGCTCCTAGGCACTCAGAGCTGGGAGTTTTAAATGACACACACAAATTAGGATGTCCACACAGACACTCAAAACAAGCCCGCACATGGT